AGGCATGGGCGGTGAGAGGAGGAGGAGGAGAAGCTAGGGGGAAGGGAGGGAGGGGACGTACGTGCTGGGGCGGCGGCGCGGGGGAGCTGCAGTGGTAGGGGGCGCGGGGGCGGCGGGGGTGGAGTCCGGCGGGGGTCGGGGCGGCGGCGGCGGGGTCGATCGGGATAGCGGGTGGATCTAGCGAGGGAGAGGGACGAAGGGATCTGGCGAGGGAGAGGGTGGAATTAGCTAGGGGGGATATTACTAATGGCGCACCCCGCAGCGGTGCGCCATTAGTATGTTTTTTTATTACAGTTCGAGCCCTCAGGTTATATTCCATCTAACCCAATCTAAATCAGAACCCGCCCACTAGCCGACTGGTCAGCACGCTGCACACACACTAGGAGGTCCTGGGTTCGATTCCCAGGCTCCCCAATTTTTATTTTTATGCATTTGAAATGCTTTTTGATATTTATTTGTCCTCAGCATCCTTACCTTCCAAGTCATTGGGATCCTCAGCATCCAAGTTTTTTGCATGCAAGTCCTCAGCATCCTTACCTTGCAAGTCATTGGGATCCTCAACATCCAATTTTTTTGCATGCAAGTCCTCAACATCCTTACCTTCCTTACCTTGCAATTCTACAGTGTCCCTGCAATATGGGACTTTATCATATGGGGCTTTGTGCAAAACTCCAAACACGACCAAACCATCATATGCTACCCGGTCCGTGACCTGCCAATTTGTCTCATCGACAATCTGACGCTTTACCTTTGGAAACATCACAGTTGTATAAATATAAGAGGCAGCAATCTCCAGAGGGTGTGCATTCAGCTTAGTGAAGGGTATCGTATGTGTTGCTACTGCGTCTAATGCTTCTTCATTCTTACGCATTATGGATACACAGTGCTCAACATGCTGCAACAAATCAACAAGCTGCATCTTCCTGTTCAGGTGCACATGAAGCCTTGAGTTGAGAGACTCACTCCTCTGATTACTCATCATGCCAAGGAAATATCTACCCTTTGTGTATGCAGCAGCCCATTTGCGTCGCAGCTCGTACATCCTGTTAACCCATGATGACCTCTTTCCCGTTGGTTTTATTTTGAACCGAACCTTATAAGCCTCCCATCTTTTCTCAAACTCATCAACATCCCAACGACAGTAAATGAATTCCCTAAATTCCTCAAGCTTTTTCTTGCGGAGGTGCATCACCATATTCTCCTTGATATGCCACGTGCACAAACGATGATCTGTTCCAGTCCACAGTACCTATTGCTTTAGCCATTGAACCGTCCCCATCGGTGATTGCTGAGATGGGTGCCCTCTGGGACATTGCCTCCAAAAATACATGAAGAAGCCACTGGTATGATGCAACTGTCTCGTTTGACACTAGACCGACCCCAAACAAAACTGTGCTGTGGTGATGGTTCAGACCAACAAATGGAATAAACGGAAGCCTGTACTTGTTAGACCGGTATGTACTGTCGAACACCACGACACCACCAAAGGCAACATAGTCAATCCGGGACTGTGAATCAGCCCAGAATATGTTCCTCAAATGGCCTTCTTTGTCTTTTGTGTATTTGAAAAAGAATTCCGGGTCTGCTTTTTTCTGTGCAATCATATAGGTGAGCAAATATCTAGCGTCACTGCCTTCTATCTTGCGCTTCTTCTGGATTGAAACATGGTTGTATAGGTCTCGATCTATAAATCCAAGCTTGTCGGGACCTCCGGCATTCTTCTCCATTACATTCATAATCTGATGTGTTCGAAGTCCACCAACAGCATACTCGATGACATCGGCCTTTTGTGCGTCAGTCATTCTATGATGACCCGATAAGTAGGGAGTCAGGTCAGCAGGGACAAACAGATGGTTATGCTTGTCCACAAAATTCTTGAAGAACCAGAGGCCACTACTATCTTGTAGCTCAACCTGAAAAAGAGCGGGACACCCACACCGAGAAAGACCCCTCGTTGTTCTTTTTCTATCAGCTCTGTTAAATTGCTTAAGGGCCTGCCATCCTTGTTTGCAGCACTTGTATGTCCTTCTGTATGCATTTTGTTTCGGACCCGGACCCCTGTACTTCAGATCATCCTTTCTAACACCAAACCCTTTTTTTCTCGCATACCCTACGTAGAACATGTAGGCTTCTTCCTCAGTCCTGAAAGTCTTCTTCACAATCTCTATGTATTCCATACACTCATTCAGATCTGAACCAGCCATGCCTTTAATATAATTTCCTTTACCTTGCATGTGTAAATCATCTAGGTCTATGCCATCCTTGCCTGCATCCTCATTATCGTTATCATCCGTGCGCATACCATCCATTCCTTTGCCTTTGTTTCGTCTATCACCCATGTCCTTGTCATCCTTGCCTGTATTCCCCAAGTTTTTGCCATCGTTGCATTTATCATCCATATCGTTGTGCTGCCAACGAAAACAGATAGTCAATGTTACGGATGGATAGCATACATAATAATTATGCAATACTCTGCTTAAAAATTGATTTAATTTTTCATATCGGATTCATGTACCAAACTCAGTCCTTCAAAAGCTATAAGTAAGTATAAAATATTCCCTGACTAAATCCAGAAATATTTAATTGATTGTACTTGTTGTAACTGATGATCTCCTAACTAAATCCAAAGTGCACAAATCATTTCAACTCCCCTGATTATCTGCAAACTCCATTCAAAATTGTGTCCTAACTGAATCCAAAATTATCACCTAACTAAATCCAAATTATCTCGTCACTAAGTCGAAAATATCTCCAAACTCCATACAAAAATAATTATCTCCTAACTAAATCCAAAATAACTTTCTTTGAATCCAAATCTGCTGACAAATTCTCATGGCACACATCCCTAACTAAGTGCTTTAATATGTCCTAGCTAAATCCGACTTACACTTCCTTTGAGAAAAAATCTTGTCACAACTTTCTGAAACCATAAACCCTAACTAACTACATCAACATGTCCTAGCTAAATCCAACTTACACTCCCTTTCAATAGAAATCTCGTGACAACTTTCTGAAACCATAAACCCTAAACCTCACATGACATATCCTAAACCCTAATCAAATCCGACCCCTATTGGTACTATAAGCATAAGGGACCAGCAAAGATTTGAGATGGCTAGGCACTTACAGCGAAGATCCGGCGTGAAAAAGTTGATGCACGTCGATGAGGATGATGTGGCCTCTCGGGTCAGGGAAGGTGGCGTGCGCTCGGGGAAGGAGGGGAGGCTCGTCGGAAGATCTGGCGTCGCGACCCGAGCGGGGTGACTTCCGATGGAGGGGGGAGGGGGGAGTAGGAGCAGGAGGAAGGAGTGACACGGCGAATTCGATCGGCGGCGATCAAGGGCGCCGGAGGCGATCGGCGGCGATCGAGGGCGCCGATGTTAGGGCTCGAGAGGAGGAGAGAGGATGAACCGCTCGAACCAAATTTCAAAAGAGTACGCACGATGATTGGACCTCTATAATGAAGTGTTTTATTAATGCAATTAATTTAATCGAAAAATTTCGGACGAGAATACCCCTGGACTTAATTGGGCCGATTAAAGGTATAAAAAAATTTAGGTCGAAAATACCCTTGGGCTAAAAAAGGCCCAGTTGTTCTAATCCGTTAGATCGGCCATATAATACACGTGATTTGGTGTATTATGATGCACCATAAAATCTCCCTAAAAATTAGGCATGATATAAATTGCATGTTAATATTAGGTAGGATATAATTACTTGGTTAATCCTGTCATTCACATTAGGCATGACATTAATTTATGGAAGGTACTAAACATGTTTAACGCTAAATATCGGAGTGACGTATAGACTATTGGATACATGTGGTTGAATGGATGAAAATTGTTGTATCTCCTCTACTCCTTTTATATTGGTCTAGGTGTAGATACTTTAATAATTATGGTTGTGTGCGAGCGCATAATGCAGAGACCGGGGTATGGCCAACAGAAAAGGGACCAGAATCAAACGAAAGATGTAAAGCGGCAACAATATTACAAAGGATAAATTCCTAACCAACAGGTGCACGCATACCTATTAGGAGGCGCATACCTCTATTCAGGCTAGCTCTTTGAGGTGCCACTAACTATATATACGCACACATGCATCGCGTGGGTGTGCTACCACTTAAGCGAGAATACGCAGACACACACATATAGTTTGGGGAACAAAATGCAACCTTCGGAGTCGCACAAGGAGGCAAAACTGGAGGTGCAGCACTACCAACCTGAGCTGCTGAGGGCAGCTCGGATGGGCCTTCTGCACCAACTACGTGATATTCTGGGCAGTGACAATATAACTATCACACCGGTTGTGTTGGAGCCTGTAGTCATGATCGACATTGAGAGGGTCGACATCGACGTTGAAAGGGTGGACACCCTGGAGATGGACTCGATCCTCCATGTCGTTGCGGCGAGCGGCGATGAAGAGAACTTCTTGGAGTGCGCAAGCGTGATTCACGAGAAGGCCAAGCACCTCCTGGACGCAGGCAATAGCAAGGGTGATACGCCCTTTCATTGCGCTGCAAGAGCTGGCGGGGTGGAGATGCTCTCTCGTCTCATCCATCTGGCAAGAGCCGACGGCGGGCATGCAAGGGTGACGGATGTGCTGAGAAAGCAGAACAAGAAAGGCGAGACGGCCCTTCATGAGGCCCTCCGCTTGGCCAACAAGAAAACTATGAAGGAAATGGTTAAAAAGTTAATGGAGGTGGATCCAGAATTGGCTTGCATTCCGCATTGCGACGCTACATCGCCCTTGTACCTGGCCGTCTCACTAGGACATGATGATATTGCAGTCTTTTTGCATTCGGAGAACGAGAAGCTGTCCTACTCTGGACCATATGGACAAAACGTCTTGCATGTCGCCGTGCTTAGGGGCAAAGGTGCGTGTTGTTATTTTATTATTTTAATTTGATGGAGCATTTCTGTCCATCTCCCCATACTTTAAGATGCATAGTATGCCTAGGGCGCATATAGATGTGTCCTACTTATTGCATATCTAAGTGACCCAATCAAATATAGAAGAAAAAGAAAAAGGAAAGAAATACCCGCATGAACCTTCCTGTAAAATCAATGACATGAGATTTATATGTGCAATACTTAGGGCACATCTAGACGTGCTTTAGCAGGACTGTATTTTTTTGGATGCTAAGTTACAACAATTTCCTGGGATTTCTTTGCCACACTAATTACCATATTTTGGTTGTACTTGTCTTTCGAAAAGAGGGAAAACTTTATATCTTTACAAACTTTGAAGTCCAGGCATCTCACATCAGCTGGGTACAAAAGGTCAAAAAGCTAAAGCAACAAAAATGTAATATGATCGCATCTGTAATCCTATAACTGGACTGTCATGAAAATGGGTTGAATATATCACGTGCTACCATCTCACATCGGCTGCACCCATAGTCTATGAACATTCATGCCCTACGCACATTGTAGATAAATCATGTGAGGATCCAGCTGGTAGAAATATTACCTGCAATATTTTTTTTGCAACTTTTGTCCAGTTAAAAGCACAATCATTTCAATAATTCTATATTTCCCAAACTAAAGTGTATAATCCCACGTGGATTCGAAGCTTTAGCCAGAAGTGGGGCAACCGGCAATCTAGAAGTAGATGCTGGACTAATCTATTGTTGTCACTGAATAATAACATACACTATTCCTTATCCTCTCGCACAACACATAAGTTTAACATACTTCAATTTCAAAAGATTTCATGAACGTCCAGCAGGTTAATTCTCGGTGGCAAAGTTCTAACCATGAAATTATCGAAAGACAACTAATTAGTCGATACCACTCTTGGCATACAATACTCAAAATTATACAAGATCAGCTATTGGCTTATATCTTTTGACTCTGATTTCAGTAGAACTTCATAAAAATAAAATAAATAAAAGTGCCACTAGAAAAATTACAGAAGTCTGCTTTGCTAATTCCGCGGTCTAGTGAGCTCCCGTGAAAATAAAAAGTAGTTCAACTTGAAATGCACAACTGTAAATTCGGTGAATTCAGTACTTCATTGTAGAAAAATAACAGAAATACATAATCATTTCGTACACATGAAAGTATTCCCGAAGTTCAACAACTG